AACATTTACCAATATTTTCAAATTCTTATCCATTGATGACATGACAAGTATTGTATTTCACTTAGTTTACATGCTGATTTCCACATCACATCTAAACAATAAAATAAAGCTACCAGTATCTATGATATAACTCAGGTGACCGCTAAGGCCCTTGGGCCTCTTGTTTTACTGAGGGATTCCTTTTTCATCTGTTTCATGTGTTACATAACGTTTACTGCATACTTTTATTAGTGTATGTCAGAAAAGGGTTTGTGAGATGGATATTTGCCGATATTTTATTATCTGGTGTAATAGATGCAGTGTATAATGTCGATTGTATGATCCATGGTCTTTGGAAATTTAGGAAGAACACCAAAGACATCACTAACATTTCTCGAACCATTGTCGTTTTACATAGTAATGCCCCTTTAGATATACCAGTTTTAATTCCAGAAAGAAAGTGGTATGCCATTCACCTCCATATTCCTACCGGTAAAGTTGCCATGGATACTAGAGAACAACCCCGTAGTTAAGGAAGTCTTAAATCAAGGGAGACTACTAACAGGGACAGTCAACACGTGGATACTCTGGGTAAGGTCACCTTATCTTAGTGTTGTATTCATCCATATATATTGCAGTTACTGAAGGAAATTTCAATAATTTGGTAAAGAACGGCATTCGTTATATGCGATCAAGTTTTTTTCCCCAAACAAAAGCACTTGACTGGCAATTGGAAAATGTGGCCCACGTACGGACCTTGAATACTCTGTAAAATGATCGTATAAGCACCGCACCCACAAGCATGATTGTAGTCCAGAAGGCTGGAGGACACATTGGTTAACTATATAGTCGAGTGTTACCGACTGTGTTAGGGCAGCGCACTGGACTAGTATTTTGTAATACCGGGATTTTAATCTCAGCGGAGGCGCCTTGAAAAGTGGTTTTGGTTACCCCTAACATTTACATAAGAACGTAACTACGTTTCCTTGTGTATAGCCCGTAAGGCAACCTTTGGAATGACCATTACTTAACGTGTAGAATTCTTCTTGATGCAATGTTTGTCTCCTATTTTACCTTCGTTGTATAAGCTATTGTAGAATACTGTACCGCTGATACGGTCTACATCCAATCAGACTAACCGTTATCGAGATACATTGGCACCACGTATGCATGAAATAACATCGTACAGTTACACTTGTTACCAACGCTTTACCTACACGTACCAGTGTTCAGTAAAGATTAAAACTTCGAGATAATATTCTAATTTATATTAAAACCAATAAGTAAATGGCCAATGAATTACTTACATGTAGGATGTCTGCAGATTTGTCAACTTTATATTCATCTTACGATGTGTCCATGTGGAGCAACTATCACCAAGTTTGGTGAAGTACATACATAATGTACCTGATACTATTACTGCGAAAATAAAAAGAAACACTGCATAAAAACCAGTGTGTTTATTACTAGTGTGTTTATTACTTGTGTGTTTATTACCATTGATATGCAAACGCAAATGTGAAGGTGTTCACGTTTTTTCAAGACGCTGACTGGGGGTCCCAATGGCGGCAGCTACATGACTGACGTCACCAATGCCTGTCACACAGGATTAATGAACGTCTACACCCTCACATGGGATGCCAATACTTGCAGGTGCTATAACACAACTTTTTCCTAGAAAATATATTTATTTGCAGGAAAATCTAATACTCATTAATTTATTTTCTTGAAGGCTTGCAAATACAGAAACCGATCTTTCAAATCACACAGAGAGTTGTGAGGTAAAGATATGAAAAATATTTATTAGAATTCCAATTTATTATCTTGCACGTGAAAAACGGTTCACATAGCCCATGTTCTCTTTCTTTTCTGTTTAATCGAATGGGTGCCACTGTTGGTGCACGGAGCGCTTCCCTGTCATAGCACGTTCTCTTTCTCAAGGTTCTGATAGAATATTTTGTTTTTTGTTGTTGTAATGTCTCACCAGTTTTTGTTTTGTCTTTTCTGATTTGATTTCCTTTATTGCACTTCTGTGTTGTCACGGTGTTGTTTTGTCGTTAATAATTATTTGTTTTATTTTCACGTAGTAAATTCAACATTCCGATGTCAATTCTGCCAGATATTCACAGTACTTCGGAGCTATACGGCTACGTCAAGGAAGGACCCTTCCAGGGACTTCCTCTGTCTGGGGTAGGTACGTAATTAATATTTGTCACAAAATATCCTATTGCTTTCAATGACAATATGTCAACCTATTTTGCCTGTTTTAACGATCGGTTTTTGGACAATTATTATTCAGTAAATGTTATTTTTAGAACAATGTATGCAGTATATAATTTGTTTGATTTAATTGACGTTATTATTTATGAAATGAAATTTGGTTGTATTTCTTACCATTCAGGAGTTATAGCAAATGTGAACTTTAACTATAGCAAATGTGAACTTTAACTCTAGCAAATGTGAACTTTAACTATAGCAAATGTGAACTTTAACGATTGTAAAGAACTTCTTCCATGGTTATCTGCAGAATTAAAATTAACTTCAAAAATACAACACTCACTTCACATATCTTTTTAAAGAAAATAAACTTAATTCATTTTAACTCAACGGCCCAGACTTATATCACTTTTAATTAAGGATCTGCTCTACTGTGGTTTAGATCACGTTTAAATATCGTTTTGATATGCTGTAACAGTTTTTAGCTAAGGCGTTAGCCGCCAGCTCTTGGTATTACTTTAGTTAATGAGCTCAGATATTCATAAATGTCGATTTCACACAGACGGCCTCTAGCGGTAGTCACTGGTACTAAATTGAATCATATACCGGACCTACTGTCTTTATTATGCGTAACTTTGGACTCAAATGCACTTGAATGGCTTGTAAATATCATTACTTTTCTTTATAGAACATATGATCTTATCACAACGTCGTATTCTTATTGAAAATGCACCCTGTTTATCTCAATCGGGAACTGCTACTTGAATGTAGGTCATGCATGCTACACGCAACTTCCGGTAAAAATACTTCAGTTAATGAGCTCAGATATTCATAAACGAGACATAACGTCACCTTCTAGTAATACTAAACAAACTGCAAATAAAATCCATTACCACGGACTCAAGTTCACTCAAACGTCATTGGATATAATCTTATTCTTAGTTAGAACTAAGTATCCTTCTAAAACTTCGTATTTACTCTTGGAACTGTCGCTGGATTAACCCTTTACACGGAAATATTGTCCTGTGATTGGCTAAAATTGGTGACATTTACGTCCCTGTTTACAATTATATATTGCGTGGTCAGAGCTATGAAGCGGTCCTGTTCCAACTAACTGAGGATAATCAAAAGTGCTAATCAGTAATAATATATCTGATTCACGCTTCATATGATTATAATGTTATCAAAATATTGCATATTCGTTCATCGTTAAAATAACAAATCCTTACTAAAAACTCTAAAAAAAGAAACGACGGCCATGTTAGATCACGCGTGATGTTATCCGTTTCCTTATATGGCCTTCACGGCCAAATATAGTATTACTACTGATGCGGTCATGTTTACTACAATTTCCATATTTGGTCATGACACCCATATTTAGACGTCTGACCTATATCGGAAAGATTGAGGAAGTTTCCAACATGGCAGTCAATTAGGATTTCGCTTGCACTTGTTACGTAAACTTGATAATTTAACGAAATATAAGGCGGAGTATAACTTACAATTATGTAGGAGATCAACATAAAAAGTTCATATTACAAACCTATTAATGGATACGGATCCTGTCAATTAATTCTAAAATCGCCTCCGTGTGATTCACACCAGGCTTGCCTAACTAAAATGGGATCAACCGGCCGGGGCAGATGAGACCGGGAATCATGTTAGAACTAGCCACTGTCCTTCTCTAGTTCCATATTGGTATTCTAACCTGAAGGCTTTTTTTACCTTCGCAGTATTATCATTTTGTTCTATTTTCATCATAAGATATGCTATTGCATTTTTATATCGCCTTCTCGCTAATTACAGCTCAGCCAGAAACGAAAATATGCTCCGATAGGCCTACATTTTATATGTCTGTTGGTGTGATTTGTGTTTTTCGTTTATTGAAGTATTACCATATAACAGGACTCTTTTATTTCAATATACACAAAAACAACAACACCTTCGGAATGATTTCAGACATATACTGCGGGAAAACACGAGTGATCTCCCTTACATTTAGACATGCGCACATTTTACTTTCGTTTTGTGTAGGCCTAGACATCATTCGCAACGCGAAGCGGAAAAGACGAAAATGCAGGCGAGTGTTGACTTAATGTTAGGCATGTTGTTTAAGCAGCATTGACAATGAACAATATACATACACTTCTGCAACGTTTACCTACTACTGATTCATAAATAAGGCTATGTATCCCGATTTCGGTGACTTGTGGCCAAGCATGCGGCCGAAGCCGCAGAGAATGGCGCATGTTGTCAGCGGCGATGACAAAAAGGAAGGTGCTTCTACGGTATGTATAGCAGTTATTATGCAAAAACAAACATAATAAACGGACGTTTTACTCTAGTGAATTACAGCGTCACGAGGAACGTCTTTCTCCAGACGTGTTGCAAAATTTTCGAACTGCTTAGTTGCAAACTGATTTCACTTAAGCGTTGTTTGTGAGGATATTTGGCCTTACATTTCTTCTCATTCAGTTAAAAAAAAACATGTTATAAACATTGTATTATTAGATTCATTGTGATGTTGGCTTTCATTGAAGTTTCAATTGTTATACTACTTGATGTTTTGGAAACTTAAACAAGTATAGTAGTTCTAAATATTATGAAATGACAGAAACATTAGGCCAAACAAATTACTTGTGTTTCTACTATCAGAAAAAAATAGGGTAGGTATGTATTAGCTAGGCATTTTATTGTTAATTTGAAAAATATCTTTACTGCGCTAATATAGAGCAGGAGTTCTGACTTTAACAGTGCATATAAAAACTTAAGGGTATTGTAGAACACAAATCTGAGATAAGTCTGGTTAACCACACTGGTGTCGAACACACCAATAAGTATAGTGTGTATAATATATCATAGTTTATACACATCATATTACTATTAGTGTGTCCAGTATCTGTGGGGTTAGCATAAACTCAATATTTGTTTTAAACTTTTAATTGGCCTTATATAATGATCATTTATAGGTCAGACAGGGTTTGGTTTCCAATTCGGAAACTAGACCTGTTAAAACAGTTATCATTTGTAATTTAGAGATTAAATATTTCTAAGCAGAAAAAAATGAACTATAAATATTTTTCAACCTTTTCTGAGTTGTACAATTTTAGAGTATCTTCTGTCTGAAATCTGAACATAACTTGTTTTATGATAAATGTGTAAAACAATTCCTCATACTGGGGTAAAGTTTTTCTATATATAGTCCCAAAAACTACAGATAAAATCCTTGAGCACGTACAAGATACAAAAATATATATTTTACGTCCATTTTGCAAAACATACAACATAAGCTACAAAGACAAAACATGAGTATAATAACAGAGACCAAAATATTACAACATGGAAAAATAAAATAAAAACATGTATGTACATGTAGTATACTGTAAGCTCAGAAAAAGAGTTTATCACTTGGAAAGCACTTAATAGGCACATTGAACACGGTAAGCACATCAGCACATGGTAATTTAAGCACATTTAGAACATTTGCATACAGCACATAAAAAACAAAACCATAACATGGAAAGCTTATTAGCACATAGTAGGCACATTTGCACATTGTAAGCAAAATAAAGGAGTGCAATGGACATCTCCATGTTTCCTGGTTAATTTCTTCTTTATGGAAACAACCAGGGGAGAGTGATGTTCTGCTTCATCTTTTGTATTAATGAAAACCGTGAATATCTAAGTGCGTGTGTTTAAACTAATTTTGTTTTGTTTTTACTGGTACCTTTTTATGTACACATGTTTTACCACCTAAGGAATTAGATGTCTTAAGCCCCCATATGATGTGCTGTTATAAGTTGAATTTAATGTACATTTTGTTTATATTTAGTTCTGCTACCAAAGAGATTGACTTATTGAAATGTTTTTGAAACATTTTAATGAACTCCTCAGCTTTAATGCCTTATTTCTCACTATACAAGCTCATATTGCTATGCCTCCTATTTGTTTGAATATCATCTCTAAACATTATTGCTGGTGCAGAAATTATATGGTAACTATGTTCTATTTTAGGGGGGGAAAGCAATCAATATTACAACAGACAGGGATGGTTATTGATGGGAGAAAGGAGGATGAGAAATAGGAACTGTACCAACTCTCTCATACCTTTGAGGACTTCATGAACTTTTTCAAAAGGCTGCAAGAACTATACCAACAGTGACATGACATTTTGAAATCTGTCAGTTACTTTATAGAGGAGGAACCTCTGACTAAATCATTTTCTCTCAGACACATGAAAGCCGAGTCCACAGATCCTTCCATCAGCGAATAGTTCAAATGTAGTTCAAATGCTTTCCTCGCAAACTTTTCCTTAATGGAGAAGTCAGTGATCTTTACTTGGAACAGATTGAATCTGTGAATATTGATGCTGAAAGCCTGATGAATGTGATTGAACAGCCCCTACTTGATGCTGAAACCCTGATGAATGTGATTGAACACCCACTACTGACTAAGGGCACAAATGTTGGAAACAACGTTTGTTTTGATCAATATAACACTATGGGTGGTGGGAGCAAATTGGAAAAAAAATTAAAAGTATGTTTTTAAAGATAGAAATACTGGTCATGGCTTCCTTTTAGTTTTTGTCCAATGAATTAAAAGTCAACGCAAATGTTAAGTAGTAAAAGAAATGTAAGATCCCTGGTATACATTGTACTTTTAACAATGCTTATGATCAATATCAATAAAATAAAATAAAAGTTATAATATGTAACTTGATATTTGTTAACTTCGCTCGATTTTACTGTGTCCAACATTTGATATTAAATCTTGTGTGATATATGAGAGGGATAGCACACAAGATTGTATCAATGTCAATGAAAGCAATTATTTCTTAAGTTTTCAACCATATTTCTTGAAACTTCATTTCTAAATTTCATACATCAATTGTTCAAGACAGTTTTAAGGTCAATTTCATTCAGTCAAGGTGAAGGCTACAGCTTCACAACCTGTTCATGTACATGTGACAGAGAAATTGTCAGTGCATTCCTAACTAAGTATTCAAACCAAATTTTATAAACCTTGATCCATCATTCTCAACATTAAATCATGCACTACCTGTTTGCATATACACAAGCAACCTCAACTTTCAATAAGTCCTGTTGTCAACATTTGTTGCACAATGCTATCAGTTCTGAAACCAACAATCATGACAACTGTAATAACATAGTATGTGTTCTAGCTGGTACATTTGCAGTACTCTTTTGAAATGTATTTGAAATTAATATGTGCATCTTATTTCAAATGCTAGCCTATGAAGATGATAAAGCTGAACATATGCTATAAAGTTGTTGTTTTCTTTGTGAAGAATTTATGCAATGGAAATAGAGGGAAAATAATGTAACTCTCCTAATCTTGTGTGTGTGTGTGAGTATGTATGTTTATATTTTGTTTATCTTATTCAATATTGAAACATACAACAATGTATCATATTGAATTAGAGTGCTTTTTATATTATTTGTTCATGGGAACACAGATTCAAAATAGTTCCATTTTTCATAAGAAGAGACCTTTTCACTGCAGTGAATATGTAAAACACTTTATTTAAAAGTTTTTCAAAATTATTGAGAGACTTGTAAATTTATGGGTAGCAGTAATCCACTTGCTTATCCACAATTTAGTTTCGGCAAGTAAACATCCTTATAAATATTGTTCTGTAACAATATACACTGACTGATGCAAAATTGAAACTTGAACAAAATTCACACGTATTAAAAAGCATGCCAACCCTGGTCGATGTGCACACTTTACAAGATAACTTGCTTGAATATATATTGATCAATATACAAACTTAGACGATAAGTTCAAAGTTGAGTGAAATCCATGCCTAATTAATTAGCATACTGTACTCTGATTGGTCAATGGTTTTATGCCAAGTAACTTTGTTAGATAAGGCAAGGGTTGATATCTTATTCAACAACAAAGGCAAAGTTCAAAGATGTTCACAATCTGTGCATAATCTATTCAATGGTTTAAAATAATCAGGTATTGGTCAAAGGGGTAAATGCCAGTTTCAGTTTTTAATGTTCTATGAAATACATTGTATGGACAAAGGGAAGCAATTCCAAATTCCTATGCAAATTAATTATCCAAAGGTTTAAAATGATATATTCTAGAGGAAACTTGGTACCACTCTTCTGACAAACCTATAAAGATATACTGTACACACAAGAAGAATAACTTCACAGTGGTACACTTTTACATAAAACTTTGATTCATAACAAATTAACAGTAAATCCTTCTGTACAATATGATGGGAACTTCGTCTTTATTTTGTTCTCCATTCCAAAAATAATATATATATCTTTTGCCTTAGCTTTCAGTACTTTCAGTACTTTGATTTTTAAGCGTAAACAAATTAAGATCAATTTTAAATGTAAAGATGCATCTGAACAAAAACTTGTCAAAGTACAAGTATTGTTTGCAGATCGTTTTTACAGGTTTAAATATAGCCCAATTTCCAGCTAGTTTGTAAATATGAATTTCTTAAGCTCCACTTATCGTCAAACTTTCACCCTTTCTCACACTGGCTTAGTCACTTAAATTGCAATTGCGTCGCCGTTTTAATTGCAGCAAGATGACGTTTGCTGTGATGTTTATAGTGCTCATTATTATGAAAATGATAGGCAACATGGTGGAAAAAACTACAGTATCGGTAATGATAGGTAACATGGTGGAAAAAACTACAGTATCGGTAATGATAGGTAACGTGGTGGAAAAACTACAGTATGGGTATTAAAATGATAGGTAACATAATGGAAAAACTACAGTATCGGTAATTATAGGTAACATAGTGGAAAAAACTACAGTATCGGTAATGATAGGTAACATGGTGGAAAAAACTACAGTATCGGTAATGATAGGGAACATAGTGGAAAAAACTACAGTATCGGTAATGATAGGAATCATGGTGGAAAAACCACAGTATCGGTAATGATAGGCAACATGGCGGAAAAACTACAGTATCGGTAATGATAGGTAACATAGTGGAAAAAACTACAGTATCGGTAATGATAGGAATCATGGTGGAAAAACTACAGTATCGGTAATGATAGGCAACATGGTGGAAAAACTACAGTATCGGTAATGATAGGTAACGTGGTGGAAAAACTACAGTATCGGTATTAAAATGATAGGTAACATAATGGAAAAACTACAGTATCGGTAATGATAGGTAACATAGTGGAAAAAACTACAGTATCGGTAATGATAGGCAACATGGTGGAAAAAACTTCAGTATCGGTATCTTATTACACATTCATATAAGATGAAGCTTAATTGTTTGATGGTCCCACTGAGGACTGTAAAATTTGAAAATTAGGGGGAGGAGTAAAATAAACGGCCTTTCTGATATCTAAATATAGGCTTCTTTCTTCCATAATTTTGAAGATTGTTGTCTATATCAAAAGTGAATGTATGCGTAGATTTCTGATAACACACTTAGAATATATAGTATGAAGTTGTTCTGCTTACGATCAAGTTGGTACTTTTCACAAAGGTCACTTACTAGTAATACAAAACATTTTTATGTTTGACCGATCTTAACAACAAAAATGAGCACACTGACATATCGTTTTCTTCTTAATTTTATTTTTTCATAGTTTCCCCTTTAAAAAATGGAATAGCTAAATCAAAGTAAATAAAAAAATTGACTTTCAAGCAAAGCAGATTATTCATATTGTTTAATCTGCATTCCCTATATCTTTGGTGTCTTATATGTAATATTTCCATTTACTATCCACAATATCAAAATTATCATGTGGTACAAACTATAATATTATTTTCCCCTTCCGTATTACTTTTTTAGCCGTATTATTTCGTTTTACTATTCAAAGCAATAATTATTTATTTGTTGTCTTGTGTAAGATAAAGTTAATTATATTTGGTATTACCTAAAATGTCTTGTGTAAGATAAAGTTAATTATATTTGGTATCACCTAAAATGTCTTGTGTAAGATAAAGTTAATTATATTTGGTATTACCTAAAATGTCTTGTGTAAGATAAAGTTAATTATATTTGTTATTACCTAAAATGTCTTGTGTAAGATAAAGTTAATTATATTTGGTATTACCTAAAATGTCTTGTGTAAGATAAAGTTAATTATTGGTATTAACTAACATGTCTTGTTTACTGCTGCATTTTGATAGAGTTGTCATCAACATTGTAGCTATATCAATACATCGTTTAAGATGAAGGTGTTTACTACCTCTGGATTTCATTAGAATATATAAAATGGTTTTGGTATATGTTCCATAAATAAAAAACATAGAACTCACTCTGATTAAGGTACATTCCTGAAGTGTTGGTGCTAATGTCATTTAGTGGTAGTACGAATATGCAATAGGAATGTAAAACAATCCTCTTAGCACTTATTGATCCAAACGTTTATTATGCGTTTCCTTACAGATGCTTGGTGACCAACCGGCTGCGACGACTGGCCAGCTGTGTTTTAAACAAGGGGAGTCAAAATGCACGTAAGTGAAAACAATAATATTAGAAAGTGATGATGTACATGTGGTCACTTATTTCGCCTCTTTGCAAAGCATGTTACTTGAGTCAAGTTCTTGGTTAATCCAGAGGTAAATCCACCTACATTATTTTCCAAATAATGAAACCATTGCATGCCGGCTTTTCTCATCAGTGTACAGGAATTTGGTTTTGTGTGCTGCTGCTGTCGTTGAATTGTTCGATATTTGCCATTTTGTGTTGTAGATATGGCACCGTTGCGTCACTGAACATCAATACGGGAACAACGGTAATATCGACCACAATATATCCGAATTTTTAAAATGTACTATAAGTAAAGCATAGCTATTCACTTAGTATTGTAAGGTGCTCACGTCACCTATTATGTATCCCAGAGTGCGATATCCATTGGACAATGTGCAAAAGTGAGACATTACATTTATGTCCTAAATATATTACAGATATCATCATAATTCAAACATTGGAATACTCGTACAAATAGACGACTTTCAAAACCCTTCACTTCAAACAGATTTTTCATACAATCAAGTATATCTGTCTCTAACGAAACTCACATACACATATGCTGATACACACATATCCTGATACACACATATCCTAATACACACATATCCGGATACAAACATATCCGGATACACTCATATCCGGATACACACTTATCCTGATACACACAGATCCGGATACACACATAGCCTGATACACACATACCCGGATACACACATACCCGGATACACACATACCCGGATACACACATATACTGATACACACATATTCTGATACACACATATTCGGATACACACATATCATGATACACACATATCCCGATACACACATATCCTCATACACACATATGCTGATACGCACATATCCTGATACTCACATATCCTGATACGCACATATCCTGATACACACATATCCGGATACACACATATCCTGATATAAGAGGGCAAGTTTTCCTGTTTGCTTTCATCATTGTTGAATTCTTATACATTGTTAGGTCGTTACATCAGGTCATGGACTGCTTACCAGCCCTTTGTACCAGTTAGGGAAGAGGAGTCCTGCCGTCTATATGCTGGAGGTATCATGGTTACCATATTCTATATTGAATGAAAACCAGATAAAAGATATTAGCCAGGTAGCATTGGACTATTAGTTAGCTGCTGACAAGGCAGTTCCTCATAATTTCTCAAAATTGTATTGATTTATCTATCATTTAATGTAAGTGTCAAGTGTATGATTGTATACATTGTTTATCTATGTATTGTAAACGCTTGAGAGTGGCTTATTCTAGCTAGATAGGGCTCGATATCAAATGTCGTATACATTTTATTTATTTATAAGTTGATTTGTGGTTACAAGCAATTTAGATTTTAACATACAATTGAAATTACGTCAATAGAATATATTTTTGTATAATTCAAATTGAACTTTATGTCACGTTTTCAAGCATCATCAATAGTTTGTTCGTTAAAGAAATCGGACATGTTTTATCATTCCTATATACGTATTCACAGGGAGTGGTGGCGTCCTGTGGAAATGTCGTTAAGTGGATCAGGGACAATCTAGGAATGATCACGAAAGCATCTGAAATAGGTACATATAATCAAGTTATCAAACGTTGATGGTTATTATTTGACGTCGTGTTCAAGTTTCGTTTATATATAGCGTCAACGATATCCTAAAGTATTGAAATGTATCAATGGATAAAAATCTTGTTCATCAAACAGCTTACCAAAATCACCTGAGATCGGTAGTATAAAACGACTATTTTTCATGTTTTTTTTTAAAGAGGAATAGGTAATCCTGAAAAGCAATCCCAAGCAAGCACTTTTGGTAAGGAAGCACTGCATGAAGTTTGAGTTTGATCGGCCAAAGGAAACTCAAGTTATCGCACGAAAACCTCTGTGCGGACGACGTGTAATTTCACGAATTCTTTTAGCTCGAAATGCTCTGACATTTTTACTCGAGCTTTCAGACAAATTATTGATATAGTCGTTATTTATTCTAGAAGGATACCTTTTGCTTTGCTGCGGACATATTGACAACGTACATTAGGCAATATTACATAACGCCATGTGTTACAAAAATAATGTTTAGCCTTTCCAAGAACACGTAATATAATTTGACCTTGACTAGCTTAAAATAGAGGCTACAGGTAAGGGCGATCAAGATGTTTTAAAATGTAGAAAACAAAAGCTAGACTCGAATTTTTGGTTTCTTTAAATATATGCAATTATCAAAGGTGTATATTGGTGTTATTTTAGAGATACTGGTTGTACATAACACCAGATACATATTCATCGAAAGTATGTCAACATCAATTTCCTCGGAGAATGTAATATCAAAAAATTGTCCAATCGTTTTGTTTTCCCGTCAGAAATCTTGTGTTAGAAACGTCTGTTTTCAAGTGATCACAGTTTAAAAACCCACAGAAACACTGTATTATCCTTTCGTTTTTGTGTCGCCTGCGAAAAGCTGGTGACACATAGGTATTGCTATGTCGGTGTCGGCGTCGTCCGCACAGAGGTTTTCGTGCGATAACTTGAGTTTCCTTGGGCCGATCAAACTCAAACTTCATGCAGTGATTCCTTACCAAAAGTGTACCAAAAGTGATTGTTTGGGATTGCTTTTCAGGTCCGAAGGTCAAAGGTCAAGGTCACTGTTACTATAAATAGAAACTCTGTTTTCGTGCGATAACTTGAGTTTCTTTGGGCCGATCAAACTCAAACTTCATGCAGTGCTAAGCAAGTCCTGCGCAGGCGACACCTCTACTTCCGTGGAATTCTTGTTTAGTTACAGATACATATTAGCCAAAACAAAGACTAGCTAGGAAAAAGTTAGATGTACAGATATAATCACCCGTCATGTGTTGTAAGTTAATACTGTACAATGTAAATATTTTATAATACTGTAAGACGATACAATGTACAATATATAAGAAAAAAGGTACATTTATTAAAGACATACATGTATTTTACATATACGTATACATGTACGACCCCGTTTCTGGTTTCAGAAGAACTAGCCTGCACTGTAGAGGATACAGACGACTGTTATTTCGTGCCTGCTCTTGAGGGTTTCTTCTGCCCCTACTGGACGGATGATGCTAGAGGGTAATACAATTTGCTGTTGACTATTTTATTCGGGTAGCTGAAAGGACTATAGAGATAACAATAAGTATTAGATTAAGAATATGTTTACACATCAGTGTGTTTTGATAGTGATCTAATCAACTGTTAACAATAAAACGCAGCCATTGGTACATTTTTGCTTTGTTCTGAAAATTTAATTGGTACTATTATTAGAAATATGAAATAAATAGCACATGTATATTTCTATTTAAGCGTTATTTGCGGTCTCAATATGAATACTACCAAGGCACATATATGTCGAGCAGCGTTGGAATCAATCTGTTTTCAGGTCAGAAAGGTGAGCCATAATAAATTTACATTCATATGAAATTTATCCTGGTACATAAATAGGTAAACGAAATAATGTCAACAAAACTAATTGAAATATATACAAATAATATGCCTTAATGTGACTTCTTACTGTGTGACATTTAGTAGCATATATTTGTCTAGTTGATTCAAAGAATATATAACAGATTAAATCACTGAATTTATTCTAAATGAAAAACAAAATTCCACATATCTACAAAATATTGAACAATATTTGCATTTGCTTACTGCTACGTTTATATGTTTGTACTGTATAGTTATTAGAAATTGCCGCAGACGAAAGTGGGTTTCCGATACCTTCCCTCAAGGCAGACGGAGGAATGGTAGTTAATACGTTTTTTATGCAGATGCAGGCTGATATCCTAGGAGAAAATGTAGGTATGTTCCTGTAACAAACACAGTTTAATCTATCAATGTGAGTGCGCTATCTTCAGACTATACGTTAGTTTATTTTGAATATGTTACTATCCTTTATTTCACAATCACGAGTTGAGCTATTGTAAGGTCGGGGAAAATTATATTTGTTCTGTTATTTATCATTAACGTTTCAGTACGTCCGGCTATGAAAGAAACGACCTCATTTGGGGCCGCATTAATGGCAGGAGCGGCTGATGGTATGGACGTATTCCGGATAACGGAGGATCGCCTTGGTCTCGAAGTAGAGTTCCCACAAAAATATGATGTATTTGAAAAGTCTATTTCTGCAGAAGGTTTGTTTGCAGAATATCCGTCCATTGAATAAATCGATGCGAAACATAAATATTTACAGTTAATTTTTTTTTACATTGTCAAATTCTCACAATTTAAAGATTTTCAGTGTTATTTAGAATGACTAAAAATCTGTATATATCTATACATCATTTTTCTTAAAAACCTGTATTTGTGTAATACCATGTTCGAAGAAATCTGCATGTATCATAAAATATCTCCTGAGTGATTAAAACAAGCGTAAATTTGTCTTTCCGTTCAAATAGGAAGCATTAAATTACAAAATGTTTCTAAAGAAGTTATTCATATAATTCATATGAATACGTGTGACGTATATTGCTCAGAAGCAAAATAACTACATAACCGGTATATGTTTTGACGATTAGGAGTGACCTTTAACGCATACATTAATATCAGTCAATAACCTCATATGTGATTATCTTTTTTCTTTCAGTTCTAGAAAAGAAGCTAAAACGATGGGAAAAGGCTGTCCAAAAATCATTTGATTGGATGAAGGAATGACTCAAACAACTTAAAATTCTCTTTTTTTTAATGTAATTAGCGAATGTCGTTTCTTAAGGGATTCAAATAATCAACCATTACGACGTGGCTTTATTGGAGGTTTAGCGTCAGTCTTAGGCTGGCTTTATTGGAGGTTTAGCGTCAGTCTTAGGCTGGCTTTTATTTTTGGAGGGACTTTGTTAATTCTGTAACGTTTGACAAGGGAAACCGCATAACAGTTATGACAAAAAACTAAGGTTTTTATTGTTCTCTATTTCCATTTTTAATTTATCAAATCACTTCAAATGCAAAATCTTGTTTCATGGTGGCAGGTTTTATATAGTCGAAAATTAAATGAATGGGAGGACACCAATTTGTATGTTACCAATGCATTTTAATTACATATTACATAAATTGAACACAAACGAAAAATAAGCATCAAATTAATTTTCAGACAAAAAAGAAATTACTTTCCTGGGAGTCCGGAAATTATTTACAGTGAAAGGAAACGCATCTTTACTTATCATGTACCTACTTGAGCTTACCTGAGTTTTGTTTAAACATTCCATTCATGATAGTTTACTTCGTTTATTTGCCGTTTACTATTTCCTTTGTAGAGAGAGAGAGAGCAAGAGAGAGAGAGAGAGAGAGAGAGAGAGAGAGAGAGAGAGATTGTGTATTTTACGTTTTATTTCTTTAATGTTTCTGTTGTGTTGTGAATAAAGTGTACATATCAGTCCAATAATTGTCAGAGTTAAATTACATTGTAATGTTTAGTTGTGTGCAGTAACCGATGAAATGAGGAAATAGTATGATGATAGAAGATCGTGGCATTGAAATAAGTAGGGAGATTAAATGCTAGTTGATATCAAATTTAATTTGAATCTTAAAGCGTTTTCCATATGTTGAAATCACATTTGAATACTTAAAAATGTGTGAACATTTGTAAATATATGCATTTTTCAATTATGACTCAAAATATTCATTACCGAAAATTAAGGGATTAAGCCAATAATGTAACACAGTTTTACTCCGCCTGTATTTCTTAGCTGACGTAATGTGTGTACTGTAGAGTTATGTCGTGTTTTACTCCGCCTTTATTTCCTAGCTGACGTGTAATGTGTGTACTGTAGAGTTATGTCGTGTTCTACTCCGCCTTTATTTCCTAGCTGACGTAATGTGTGTACTGTGGAGTTTTATAGTGTTTTACTCCGCCTTCATTTCCTAGCTGACGTAATGTTTGTATTGTGGAGTAATGTCGTGTTTTACTCCGCCTTTATATCATAGCTGACGTTATGTGTGTATTGTGGAGTTATGTTGTGTTTTACTCCGCCTTTATTTCCTAGCTGGCTTAATGTGTGTACTGTGGAGTTATGTCGTGTTTTACTCCGCCTTTATTTCCTAGCTGACGTAATGTGTGTACTGTGGAGTTATGTCGTGTTTTACTTCGCCTTTATTTCCTAGCTGACGTAAAATGTGTACTGTGGAGTTATGTCGTGTTTTACTCCGCCTTTATTTCCTAGCTGACGTGTAATGTGTGAACTGTGGAGTTATTTCGTGTTTTACTCCGCCTTTATTGCCTAGCTGACGTAATGTGTGTACTGTGGGGTTATGTCGTGTTTTACTTCGCCTTTATTTCCTAGCTGACGTGTAATGTGTGTACTGTAGAGTTATGTCGTGTTTTACTCCGCCTTTATATCCTAGCTGACGTGTAATGTGTGTACTGTGGAGTTATATTGTGTTTTACTCCTTCTTTATTTCCTAGCTGACGTAATGTGTATACTGTGGAGTTATGTCGTGTTTTAATTCGCCTTTATTTCCTAGCTGACGTAATGTGTGTACTGTGGAGTTATATTGTGTTTTACTCCGTCTTTATTTCCTAGCTGACGTAATGTGTGTACTGTGGAGTTATTTCGTGTTTTACTCCGCCTTTATTTCCTAGCTGACGTAATGTGTGTACTGTGGAGTTATGTCGTGTTTTACTCCGCCTATATTTCCTAGCTGACGTGTAATGTGTGTACTGTGGAGTTATGTCGTGTTTTCCTCCGCCTTTATATCCTAGCTGACGTAATGTGTGTAATGTGGAGTTATGTCGTGTTTTACTCCGCCTTTATTTCCTAGCTGACGTAATGTGTGTACTGTGGAGTTTTATTGTGTTTTATGCACAATGAATTTATGTGACCACTGTGCAGTTATATGGTGGTAGGTTCGCAAAGGATTTCTGTAACCTTTGTGCAGTCATATTGTTTTAGATTCATAAGGGATTTATGTGACTACTTTGCAGTTATATTGTGTTATTGTGTTATTCCGTCTTTGCGTTTTGCAGAGTTATTTTCTCTGGGGAGCAGGTATTGATTGTAACGTCATTGGTTTGCGTGAGAAAATTACGTCGTTTTCTCAAAATTTGATGACGTTACTCTCACAAACAAGTGACGCCACAATCAATACCTGCTCCCAAGAGAAGATAACTCTGCAATACGCAAAGACGGAATAAGCATACGTGATTTATGTGATCACTGTGCAGTTACATTGTTAACTCACCTGGTCCGACGTCCGTCCGTCGTCCGTACGTCAACAATTTCTTTAAACGACTTCTTCTTTTTAACCACTGATTGGAATTCAACTAAAGGGCCTGTTTCCAGTAATGTTAATTCTCCATAGGAGCCTGCCCCCGTATTTCTTATCTAGCTCAACTACTGTTTTTTTCTTTTCCGAATAATAATTTTACACCTTTCCGACACCCAGATTTCATAATTTCAGTGAAAATGTATTTTTATAAAGTTGTCAATTTCAGCATCAAAGACATAAGTTCGTAAATAAAAGAAGGTTATCTCGAAATTGTAATTCGCAACATAGTATAAATTTCTTTTGATAAATATTTCCAAAACATCGTGTTTATTCATAAAACATAAAAAAAAAAATTTCTCGGATGAAAATGCACTTGCAGAGACACAATTATGAAGAAAAATGCCATAAAATTGCAATTTTCTCCCGTTATATAGTTTTGGATGCAAATTTCCATCAGAAAATCGGATAGAGCTTTACTTGTTTCATATGTGTACCAAAAATCAGCTAATTCCATGTGGTGGAACGTTCTCATATCGCCGCCTGAATGTGGTTGTAAATTGAAAGAAAAGGGGAAATGAGTAACAACCTTGTCTGAAACCCTATTATATAGCTTATTATATACAAACTTTTATATTGAATATCAGAGCGGATATTTTCATGACAGTTTTATGATGTGTAACGACTAAATAAACAGTATCGATATAAAGATTTACACTGAGGACACCCTGATACATGAATACTGTTCTATCTCAAGTTGTCCTCTTCTGAATTTTCTGATCGTGTGGCCTTGTACATTTATCCGTATCTTCTTGTCTTTGTCTATACGTTTACGGAATCATTGACTCGACGCTAGCTATTCTTGTCTCACTTTCCTTGTTTTATTGTCCCATCTCCAAAGCGTTGTGGCTCTGTCAGGGTTGGGACCCTGACTTGTCTCACTTTCTTTGTGCCTGCCGACCACGCCACATCGAATAGATAGATTATCCATATGAAATACTTTATTTTGTTCTAAGTAATCAATCAATTCTGCGCTTCTTGGAGGTATTGAATGTGATTTATTATATTGTCTTGTTATTTTGTGTAATTAGTTGTTCGTTATTTATCACACATTTTCGCATAATTGTACCAAACTACTAAGTATTAGCTGTTTACAGCAATCATCGGTGGCTTGCTATTTTGTTACTTTATCGACGCTTCATAAACCAATCGTTATTGTTTCAAGATGGAGGGTAAATGTGTTGGAGAAGGGTGTCAAGTATACTTCAAGAAACGTAGTGGCAATAAGAACAGAAGTGCACGCAATGTAAATAGTCCACAATATAAATGGCTCCTAGATACGCTGGTGCAACAAGGATTGATGTCAGCAAAGGAACAAGCACTTATTTGCCAGAAGTGCTACATGAAGTATCTTCGGAACAAAAATCAGCCTGAACCTGAACCCGAGCAGAACCAGGAAATAGAGGAAGAAGACGACTCCCCGTCCCATATCCTGCCGTTGCTGACCCTTCATGATCTTTTGAATGGATCATCTTCACACAAAAAATGCTGTCTCTGTCTTGTTACCTTTGCAAGAAATGGAACAAAATCATCAGTCTTACCAAAACGTGCAAGACATCACCTGATCTATTCACACAAACTGTGGTGTCCCACCTCATCCCGCGTCTGCTCCATTCACCTTATTGGTAACGACTTAGATCCGTCTACAGAGGTTGTCCTTGATGGTAGAGGTTCCTTGGAATCTCAGTTACCATCAAAATCGTCCGAAATCATTAATGACCTCCTAGAGGTGTCGCACGTCCTTTCACAGAACCAGTCTGCGTTTACAATAAGCTTTTCTTCTCTTGATGACTCGGCATGCATGGCCTGGACAGGTTGGTCCAAAGATCAGTTCCTCGAAATCCACTCGCACTGTTCCCCATATCTTTCATCTGGTATATATACCAAGACTACACACGATGCTCTATTACTGTTCTGGGTAAAACTGAAAACCGACATTTCCTGGAGTCAGTGTTCTTCTCTTTTTGGAATTTCCAAGTCAAGTGTGTCCAAAACTTTCCACTCCATAGTACAGGCATTAGACACATCGATAGTCCCACAATTTCTAGGTCCGGATCACTTGACAAGAGAACAGTTGCTCGGGCACAATACTGTCTTTTCAGAAGCATTTTTTGGAGATAAAGCCACTGCCATATTAGATGGCACCTATATTTATATCCAGAAAAGCTCCGACCACAAGCTCCAGAGAATGTCCTACTGTGGCCAGAAGAAGAGAAACTATCTCAAATTCATGAGCATCGCCTTACCAGATGGCTACATTCTGGACACAGTAGGACCATTCACTGGCAGCGAAAATGATGCTACAATTACAAAAAAAGTCATGGACAAGCTAGTTACTTGGCTACAACCAGACGACAACGTTGTCGTTGACCGAGGTTTTAGAGATGTCCTACCAGTTCTCGAAGCCTCTGGCCTCAATGCTAGCATGCCGTCATACCTGAAACCCGGTCAAAGTCAACATTCTGACGTCCAAGCAAATCTTGACAGAACTATCACCAAATCGAGGTGGATTGTGGAATCCTATCATGGTCGTCTGAAACACTGGACGTTCTTCCGAACGCAATTGGTGTCTAACAGCTTTATCAATGTCATCGAGGCTTTGCTTCGAACCGTCACAGCCTGTCTGAATGGTATTAGAGGACCGATCTACCAGAGATCTCCAGAGAGAGATGCCAAAGATAGGCTAATGGCTGAACGTATGAAGGACCGTTTGACAACACCGAATGGTTTAGCTCAGAGAGTCAAGACAGATCCGGATCTATCTAGACGGGCAAGGTCCGAGTTTGTCAAGATGGATGCATCTTCCGTACTGTTTCCCCGTCTCGATCTTGATTACTTGAGAACCATTACGTGTGGAACGTATCAGATATCTCTGGCTCCTGGTTACATCGCCGAACATTTAAGTGATGACGGAGACTATGAGGTGTGGCTTTACCAGCACTCCCCAGACCTTCTCCGATGTCAAATACATTCTCGACACAAAAGCCAAACGAAATATAACGTTTGGATACGGTTCACCGTTTCACCCGATGTTGAGGCCCCAATAAAGGACTACTACTGCCAGTGCCCAGTTGGAGAGAGAACGATGGGAATGTGTGCGCACATC